ACAGATAAGATTCGTTTCAAATTATACAAAAGATATAAAAAAGAAACTGGAAATGAGCCATGGCAATTATCAGAAGCCATGATAAATATGTCAGCAGAACCTCAAGCCTCTAATTTCAAGCCTATCACCTTCGAAGCCAAACCCGATCCAGAATTAATTATCAAATCTGTCTTAGATCACTTCACATACTTGAAATTCCGAAATAGCTATAGGGGAATCGATAATTATAATTTTGCATCACTTCAGCCGTGGAGCTCACCATGCCCTATTTGCAATGGAAAACATGGGAATTATGGATTACATGGTGAATGGTACTGCGAAAATGGGAATCAGCTTCCTTATGATCCTGAATTAGCGAAGTTCTATTCTCAAGATAAGTTGAAATATTGTCTTACCTGCAACACTTCAAGCAATAAACTCAAGTTCGCAATTGTAGCATAGAAGCTTTATCGTGTACTCTCGCGCTTGTATTTTTTTTTTTTTATCACTTGCATATATTAATAAAGTACCGTGAATATTCTTCTCGCTTATCACCTGATATGTAAAAGTAGTGATGTCAGAGACTGTGATGGGTCACGACTCACGATCTCGAAGTTTCTAGCACTTTTAGAAGTCTGCTTGCGTAAACCGATCAACTGATGAGTCATCAATCTGTACGACAATTAATTTCTTATCAATAGCCCATTCGTACTACAATTTTTTTCCAAGTATAAAACGAACTGCCATGACTTCCGTAACACTAAACTGCTTGGTTACTGGAGAAGATCCTTATACTAAATGTTTTTCAGTTGATATTAGCACTAGTAGGAATATTAATACTCTTAAGAAAGTTATCAATGATGATCTTATAAGTGGCGTAGCGACAAAGGATCTTAAATTGTTTCAAGTCGATGTTCGCCTTGGAAAAACCAGAGACGAGAATGTCGTTGCGATGCTTAAAACTGGTGACCTTAATATTGGTTTGGAAATGAATAACAATTTACAACAAATTAGCGATTATTTTAGTGCGCAACCACCTACCACAAACTTACACATTTTAGTGCAACTTCCTACTGTTGCCACCGGTGAGTTATAACAAAAATTTCAACTTATTTTTTTTTTCATCTCTGTCATATTCGCCAATAATACCGAATACTTACTTATTCTTGTGCTTTTCTTTCCTGCTTCTTATCGTCAAACCCGCCCAAAAAACACATTCGCGTTATCGTAGAGCAACCCGTTGGTGGTAAGCGAGTTGATCTCGTCTTTGTTATATCATACTTATGTTCTGAACTGTAAAATTTTTTCGTCGTCATCGCATTGATTAAATAGTGCCTCATCTATTATACAGAATTTCCCAATAAGCGAATAAAAATTGATGATAGAGACCTGTGGAACTTTTGGAATGCTTTAAGAGCAAAGCAAATCTCGGCTGATAACCAAAAGCCTGTTGTTGATGAAAATGAAAATTTCTTCAGACTGCCTCCTAATATCCGTTTTTTGGGAAGAATTGACGAAGTTTCTGTCTTATTTATTCGTAAATGTTATCGTGATCTGTCCAAGGTTGTTTTTAACAATAGAACGAGAAGATTGGTTATCACTGGAAATCCGGGGATAGGAAAAACGTTTTTTGGCTACTATATACTACGTGAGCTCATGCAAAAAAACGCAACAGTTATATATGACAAAGTTAAAAAGTTTCCGATTTTATTCAACGATCAAACTGCTGTTGTTGGTGAAACTATATTTAGTTTTTATGATCTTCTAAATAAACCAGACGTCTGGTATATCGTAGACGGTAAAGCACCTCAAGACGTTGATGCTAAGACAATTCTTATCTGTTCGTTCAAGAAGGATTACTATGTAGAATTTGATAAGAATTCTTTAACAAAAACACGGTATATGTCGACGTGGGACAAAAGAGAGATTGATACATGCTGGGAAGAGATTTATAAAAACAAAGTCGATAAAAAAGTGGTTGATGCTTTATTTGATAAATAGGGAGGAATTCCTCGATTCGTCTTGGAAAAAGCTAATGAAGAAACTCAGCAAAGTAAGCTCCAAGAAGCAATTGATGCATGTGATGAGAGTATACTTATAGCTTCCATTGGCAAATCTGAAACCAAACAAGATATAAGCCACAAGCTTATTCACATTATGACAAATCCCCCGATCGAGGATGACAATCTTGAAGGAGATGATGATCTTGAAGAAGTTGATGATGACGATCTTGAAGAAGATGATGGTCTTGAAGAAGTTGATGATGACATTGAATACGTTAATGAGGAACCCTATACACAAAAAATTATAAAATTTGCGTCTATGCATGTGAGTGAAGCAGTGATTAAGAATTTTGAACAGGCCATCAAGAATAAAATACGTACAGAGTTGAATGTAAGCTTGTCAAACGGCATTAGTAATCCAGTATTGGGTAGTATTTTTGAGGAGATAGCTCACACGATATTGAAAAATGGAGGAGAATTCAAGATTCGTACTTTAGATGGTCCTATATCATATATTAGTCAATCGATTAATAGGCGAGATAAGATATATACATTTTCTACAATTGAAACGATCACTGATGGAAATTATTTTCGACCAGATAACAAAAATTTCCCATCAATTGATTCTATCATTGCATCCAACAAGCTCTTCCAGATGACAACTGCTATAAATCATCCTATAAAAATGATTGGTTTGAAAAAAGTTTATCCCAAATTAGCAAAGACAGGCGACATTGATTTTTTCTTTGTTGTACCAGCGCAGTTGTTTGACAGTTACAAAAAACAAAATTTTGTTACCACCAATAATAATAATGCCAGGAGAAAACCATCCTGAATTAAAAATCGCGTCAGGCAATATGTTCTAGCAATTGATTTGAGCTCTAAACAAGAAAATGTCGAAGAAGATAATAAATTAGGTAATGTCAGTGATGGTGGTAGACATTCTATATTAGGTGGACGTAAAAAGAAAAAGTAAAAGTAAAAGTAATGTTTTATATATTCATTAGATATAGAGTTGCCATTGTATAATAATTTTTTTCATTCCCATATTTTGTACTATTTGCTATTTTGTATGAAAAAATCGATTAATAAATTCATGCGGATTGTATATGCTTTATGCGAGTTGGTGCTAGAGGTTTCCTTATCATAATAAAATCCAAATAGCAACTGTGAAAGCATAGAGCGAGACGAAAACTTCGCCATGTGAGATCGATCACCTGAAATGTCGATCTTGTCATACCCATCAACTATCTCTGTTTCTTCATCATCTATTGATTCTAGAGCCTTCAAAAGTTCGTAATCTCCGTCCACAGAACTAAGACCAGAATTGATTAATAAGTTTTGTTTCGTAGCTAATATAATACTCTAAATTTACTTAAGCAACAGAACCGTTACCTGAAATGCGCAGTACAATATCAGGAAAATTCTTGCCGAAGAATAGGGGCTGTGCGACATAAGATTTGCATATACAGTATATTCATTTTTTCTGACTCTATTTTGCATCAAATCTCCGGCCACGCTATTATCATATCAATAAAACAATATTCAGGTATGGATATTCCTTATTTCGCATATGAGGTTTGGGGACGCATACGCTAATCCTTCGTCATTTTTATTGATTTGCAAGAGGATTGACAGAATGACGAAATGCGGTGCGTAATTGCTAGTGAAGATCTGGGAAATGTTTTCTCCTGCGAAATTTAGCAAGTAATATAAAACAAAATGATCTTTTTTTGCTCAAGACTCTTCAGCCGTATACGAAGAGGTATGGATAGAACACACATTGTAGCACTCGCAAAAAATATCCTCCGTTATACTAGCACCCTTGCTACGCATATCAGTATCCCGGATGTGAATCCATGCTCATTATGTGGAAAAGAGATTTATTCTGCATCGAACCCGCCATACAAAGAATTTACCCTAGC